AAAAAGTCAAAACAGCCAATACGGACACCGCGGCCGCCGCACAACACACACACAAAACAAAACAAAACAAAAACCAAAAAAACACACACGCCTCTCCCGCTAGTAGGAGAGCCGTCGTGCCGCTTTTACAGTGAAGGATGAAGGAGAAAAAACAAAAACAAAACAACAACAACAACAAAAAACCGAACCAAACCAAAAAGATATAACCACATTTGGAGCAAATAAACACATACTTATATGGTTACATGGAAACACACACACACAAAAAAAAAAAAAAAACGGGGTGAAAAGGAATACGCTTCTGGATGAGACCTTCTCTTTCTTCCCTTTTTTATGTTTTTTTTTATTTTTTATTATCTTAAATTCCTACAAGAAGGGAAGGTACAACAAAAGGTGGTGGTGGCGGTTTGGCATCCGTGCACCCGACATTCCCCCACCTCCCTTTCCCCCGCACACAACACAAAACACACATGCGGAGTCTCAACGACGTTCTCTGGCGACCGGACTCGCCGTGAGCGCACGAGGTGCCAGTCGTCTTTACTGCGGCCCCCTTCCCTCCACGTGCAGGGCGGGGTGGAACGGAGGGGAGGGAAGGGAAGAGGCAGGACGGCAGGGTGGGGGAAGGGAAAAGAAAAGACAAACAAACGAAAAAACTGCACTCTAAAAAAAAAACAAAAAACAGAAAAAACAAACATTCTCCCCTCCTCCCCTACAGACACACACAAACAAAAAGAAAGGAAAAAAAAAACAACAACACAAACAAACAAAAAAAAAAAAAGGGAAAAAATGGGGAAATGACATGGAGAAGAAGGAAGTCAGAGCTAATATTGAAAAATATTGGCAAAAAAAAAAAGTGGTTCAACCACATGACCAGTTCATCGGCTGGTTTATTCATTTCATTTCATTTCATTCTCTTCATTTTCAATCCGCCTCCTCATATGCATTTGTTTCTGTTCCCTCTCTTCACAATCAGCCCCCCCACATATCGCTCATACTTCCCCTTTTCGTTGAACAACTGTGTGCATGTGTGTTTGGAGGTGGGTGGGTGAATCCCTGATCCTTCAAAGCCAAAAGGAAACACACACACACACACGCAAATAAAAAAAAAAAGGAAAAAAAAATGTTTTTCTTCTTCTTCACACGCATTGCTGTATAACACTTCTACAAGAAGAGATCCGCAAAGGGATCTTTCTTTGCCTCCGGCTTTGGCTCAGCCGGGACTGCTGTTGGGAGGCTTCCTTGTGCAAAGTCCATTGTGGTCTGATGATTAAAAGACTGTTGTTGTTGTTGTTGTTGTATAGGTGTTACCTGTGGCTCAGGAGGTGCGCTAATTCCCCATGAGGGAGAGAAATTTTGTTGGGGTGGGTGTGGGGGCATGGAGAACGTTGGCGCCGTAGCCATCTGTGTTCCAGCATACATCGCTCCAACATCATACGTACCACCACCCGGTGCCATTGTCGGCGCCCCGGTTCCCCAGCCGCTGTCCATCATCATGTCATACGAATTTTGTACGTGCAGTGGTGGCTGTTGCTGCGGCAACGGTTGTGACGGTTGCACGCCGCTGAAAAGCGAGTCCGGCCAATTTTGTCCACCCGTTACCGGATTCCGTGACACGGCTGGCTGAGAAGGAGCCTGGAGGCTACCGGATGAAGCTTGAGCTGCCGGAGACGGAGCAAATAAATCATCAAATAGATTAGGCGTATTGTCATTCGGTGGATTATCTTGTCTCTGCTTTGGCGGCTCCTCTTCTCGTTGTTTCTCTTCCCTCGTCTCTTGAGCTTGGCGATTGTTTACATTTGTGGTATCCCCACTTTTATTTTTTGCAGAGGCTTGGCTGGCGGACTTCGCCATTCTCCAGGCATCCTCTTGCTCCTGAATGAGCATTTTATAGTACTTCCGCATTTCAGGGTCCTTGCTGTCGCCATCCAGGCCTAATGCCGCGAGTGCCGCCGCGTCCAACTCTCCCATGCCACCGCCCATCGAGGATCCCCTTTCCATCTCTGAGGACGCCTGCATTCGATTTGTCGTGCCGGCATCTGTAGCATTTTTGGTTTTGTCCGCATGCTTCGGGGTGTTCACACGTATGGGCGGTGCCTTGGGAGGTACCTGGCGGTTAAACACCTTGACATCCTGCTGTTCCCACCCGTCCGGCCACTCTGTCTGGGCAAAAAAGAAGGTCCCAATGTGTTTGCCGATTTCATCGTCAAAGCGCAAGAAATTTGTCAGGGCAAATATGTCCCACCGCTTGTCCGGATCCGGCTCAAGCAGGTGCGCCAGGACCACACGCAAAGATCCGGTATACCACATCTCTGTTCCCGCAGGAAATCGTAGCTTAAGCCGTCCAGTCAGACCCATGTTTGTTTCCCCAAAGGGGAGTCGAAGATACATCATGTAGTACAGCAAGACACCAATGGACCAAAGATCCACACGTTCATCAATGCGTTTACCGCTGCCCGGGTCTGCCATCTCGGGTGCACGATACCCCGGCGACGTGTTGCGCTCAATGTCTTCCACCGCCATCGCCACCTCTTCACGGTTGGCGCAGTGGTACGCCTCCGTCGTTGCGGAACTAAAGTTGCATAGACGGTAGGATGCGGCCCCTGTTGAGCCGGAATGAATCAAAATATTCTCCGGGCAAATATCACGATGAGCAATAGGTGGTTGACGTGAGTGCAGGTACCCCACGGCGCTAGTGATGCCCAAAAGCACCTGCACAATCTCCCCCTCCGGCACTCGGGTATCGGGACGAAGTTGGCGGTATAAATTGTTGCTACAGTACTCCATTGCGACTGTAACGCCCAGTTTGCCATCACTGCGTGTCACCTCTGTGTGAAACACCCGCACGATATTCTTGTCACTCACACGTGCGAGCACCTCCGGTTCCCTATGCGCCAGTAAGACCTCGTTGACATTAAAAAATGACCGTTTCAAAGCAAAATGACGCGGAAACTCAGATAAATTCTCTGTGTTCTCTACAAGGAACACAAAGGAACGAAGATGCTTAGCAAACTTGTGATCTCGTTCCTTATGACTTGAGATATGATTCTCACTGGCACCAATGTTTTGTAGCACACGAAATGGCCGACCCATCACAATAATTGTTTCAGTGCCGTCTTGATTATACTTCTCTATCTTACCTTTGGACGAGAAGCTTTTGTCCTTATTGGACTTCCTACCAGTGATGCGAGCTTGAGCCATTTGAAATGCGCTCATACAGCAATATATATGTATGTATGTATCTATATATAGATATATATATTGTATATGAATATGTGTGGGAAAGATACACCTGTATTCCTATTTCCTTCACAGCTCAAATCTTTTCCCTTTCCGCTTCCGTTTGCAACGGTGCTTCGATAAGACCTAGTTAAAATTAAAACGTATGTATATACAAATAAAATAAAATGAAATAATATATATATATATATACCCTTACACAAACTGTGCTACACCAACTTACTCCTATTTCCCCGTGATGTGTGATGGTCCACATGAAAAAAGAAAAGGAAAAAGAAAAAAAAAAAAAAGAAAGAAGCGATGCAAATCCCGTAGGAAATGAATGAAAATCACATGATGGCGAGAGACACACACACACACACACACACAGGCGGTCGGGAGGTTGACACAAGTCATCCTCTCCACAAGCCGCTCCCTCTCCCTCTACTCCCCCCGCTCCCCCGGTAAACAAAAAAGGTACTGCACCGCACACATGCATGCGTTCCACCCGCCTCTCCAGCAGATTTCTCTCCCCCACGTCACACCTGCAATTTGACCCACGATGAAAATGTTTCAGGGCGACGCAGGCTCTAGTAAGAGGGATGCATCCCGCGTTCTTCCTTCTTCCCTTTTTTTTTTTGACCGCCGTGTCCACGCAACCTCCTCTCCGTGTTTGTGTGTGTGTGTAGGGG